TTAATGCTAAGTCATTAGCTTTTGCCTACATTTCAAGTGTTTGGAGCTAGCGAGGAGTTTCGATCAGATGTGCGCGCCATTTGCGAATGACTGACCTCGGTATTCATAGCGCACACTATAGGAACTTTCGTGCAATACAAAGGTGATATTCGTGTTCCACTTTAAGCTGCACCTTTCGACAACTTTTGATCTAAATCTCAAAATTCCGCCTGATGTCGAAAAGTGGGCAGTCAATATTGCCCCTTCAACCCACTGTCAGACATCTGATCAAGGGATGCAATTAACTTTCAATCATAGTGATGAGAATAAGTGTATATGTCTTGATGGCTTGCGATAGCCGACGACTCAGATGGTGTTTGTCGAGTACACACCGGCTTCCCTGTATGCTAAGACAACGCTAGGCTGCTGGCTAAGAACAACGATAACTATTGATTGTCGACCAACTTTTTGAAATTGATTCGAGATATCAGTGTTCTAGGAGTAAATCTCCAGGGACAGTTGGACTCGCTGAGCAACCATATCATCTCCAATCTGATGAGTCATCTTCGTGGCGCAGAGACGAAAATAGATGACGCTTGAAGGAAACCCCTCTAAACACGTGACAGCGATGCACACAGTACGAACTTCAACACTGAATAGTTTTTGTACTGAAAACAAACAGAGTTATAAAACGCAACAACTTGGAACTCAGCGAAATCCGAACCACGATCTCACCAACGCAAGCCGCAAGCACTACCCTCCAGCAAGACCGCTGGCTGACAGGCGGTCTTTCTTATGGTGGACTTTCTAGTTTTGAAAGAACCTTAGTGACTCTGTTCAGAGAATCGTTCCGCAAATTCGGAAGAACGAACTGAGATTAGCATCAGAAAACACGTCTGTGAGTATAGGTTTCATTACAAATGACCACTTCTACCTGATATCCTTCCCTTGTCAGAAAAATAAGCGATGGGAGACTCTCCAAAGCTCATATTCACTATGAGGAATTAAATGAGGAAAGGGAAAAATCCTCAAGTGCTCCTTCTGCAACGTGAGAGGACTCGTTATAAGGCAACGGTTGTATGCCGAGTACAAGAAGTCCACAAGATCGTCTTATTAGAGAGGACACGGACTGTGCAAATCGATTGTATTAAATTATTTTTACATTATGTATTATTTTTTCAGTAAATTAATTATTTGTATTATATTTTTATGTTTTAATCAACTTATTTTTTCATTCATTTAGTCAATATACAATTCATTTCATTGCATGCTCCTCTGCATGAAAGTACGTTACATCAAGGTTTATTCGTCTTTCCCCTGTGTCTTTATTTCGCCAATCCCAACTCACTGATGAGCTCCGGGGATTGACGAAATAATAAGGTTCGTCTGAGGAAGGAGCGAAACGAACCGTATCTATTATTTTGTTTATAATGGTTTTTCTTTCTTAATTGACACAAAACATCGAACTAATGGATGTAGAAAGGTTGTCTACGTGTGCAAGTAGGTGCTAGTCGTGTGCAAGTAGTGCTCATGTGCTGCTAAAGCTACAGTGAGGATAATATTCTCAGCCTTTTTTTGAGAAAATCTCTTGAACCTGATGAGCCATGGGTGTTCTAGAACGATAGTTTTAATGAAAGCAACCCAATTTGAAAACTTTATGATTTGATTGGGCTAACGGTAACCCATATAATGGAAGAATGTACACTACGAATGAGCGCAATGACATACCTCTCCTTTCAGGGCATACCTTCACCTGTTTAGTCTTACAATGCGTCTCCGTGACACGTTTTGAAAATCCCGGCTGTGGTGCTAAAAGAGTTACTTCAATCATGAGTTGAATCTGACGCTGAGCTCTCGCCGATCCTTTGTTTGACAATCTCGCCTCTACTCGTCCTTCATTTCTCCAGTCAGGAACCAGCTGTTAGCTACCGCCTCAATGATTTCGTAACTCCTCACTTCGAGCCAGGGTAAATATCGGTCAAGGGAATCCTCGACAAGGGGGTCGTACTCGTGTGAGGGTCAGTAACGTCAGTGGCATCGTGGTTACAGATGGGAAGGAGAGGGTGCGGCGCAGCAGAAAACGAGAATATGTAAGGGAACATGCTTGAAATTTTCTTTGTACAGGTTCGTTCGCTGCATTGCTCTAACTTCGTGGGGAAGAATTATTTGAAAGCAGGTACGAGCAACGAAAGTCATCTTCCGCAAGAAACGGGGCTACGTGTGCACACGCGCTACAAAGGCACCTCCTTTATATGCCGCCCGCTCCCTCGCCCTCAAAACCTTGAAATAACACTGCTGTTAGGGACGCTGTCGCAAAATGCGGCAATAATTCTGGAAAGATCCTGTGCTCATATGAAGCTCATATGAAGCTGTTCCTTAGGTTATAAGAGTTACGAAATGTGTTCACTACCATACAGTTTCTGTCAGAAGTCCATCATCATATAACACCTTCCAAGATTTGATTGATTATGATTTTCTGCAGATGTGGGAGTCGGATGCATGGCCTATAGTGAGACCAAATTGGACGATGACTATTGTCCCTTTTCTTCTCGCTTACGTTGGAAGAATGTATTCTAGACACGTTTCGAGCGTTGCCAACGAATCGCACTTGCAAGTGAAGAAAGGAGCGGATTTCTGAGCGGCCGAGAATCATCCTCGAGGGATCTTCGACGCAAAATATTTCCTTAATTAGACAATGTAGAAGGAAGGAGATCGATTGTTAGAAAGCGCAACCTTCCGCTTTCCAAAACTGCCTTCGCCTTTTTAAGATCTTGCGAAATTAGAGAGATATTGCCTTTTAAGTGGCAAAAACTCGCATGAAAATTTCAGCATCCTCGACGCCTCGACGGATTTTGAGAGACTATATCTCTTCGAATGGAAGGCTTTCATAGCAATTCCAATACTGCCTGATAGTAGCAAATCTAGCTCTATCTAACCCTACCGCGTGCTGTTCAAAAGGTTGGGAAATGGAGGAATGGAACCTTTTCATCGAGGGTGTAGATTTCGACGGTTTTTTTGGGATTTCAGCAAATCTGACCCAGGGACGAATCGCGCCGCTGCTACCAAGAAACGTCACGTCGCGTCGCTCCTTCCTAAGAGCTGGTCTCCAAATGGATAGTGGAAAGCAGTCGATACTGTCAAATGAGGGATCGACAAAGGTTTTCATGGAATAACTTATTGCAACTTCAACAAATCAGTAGTTTTGCACATGGTTAGACTCGCCACAGAGAGACGAGTCCATTGCTGTAAAGATCCTTTCATTTTACCCGCTTTCGAGGGAGTTATGACGGTGCGACGGTTTGCGACGCTACAAAACCGTCGCAACGCGTAGATGTTTCAAAAATTAGGAGCAGTATTGTAGTTCTGTCTCGAGGAACCGTTGGAGCCTTTGTTTCCCTGCGGATGCCTAATCCGCTGTGCTCACTTTTAATGTTGGAGTCGACACCGGGATTTGTTACTGGGTAGAGGGGCAATGCCAAGTACTGCACACGCTGCTTCACCACCGCAATCCGCTGTTGCGGCTACTAAATTTAAAACCATTAGATACGTTAAACCTACTCGTTATCGTTGTTTTGGTCGTTGTTTCGGTCAAAGTGATGCTCGGCGTCGTCTCGTTGTGCGGTGGGCCTGATTCGGACATCATCTCTAAGTTTCAACACAATAGGATTTGTCTATAGAAGCGAATGTACAACTTAGTTCACTCACGAGTCGGTGCCACAGACGCTGGCCCGTCATCACCCTGAAATATCATTCCATCGCTGAACGCCGCCTCGTGGACGCGAGCTCAAAAACTGGCATACCTCGTATGGCTCCACGTAAAGATTCACTACAACGGGCTGAAATTAGGCGAATCATGAGTGAAATGAAATACGGAGAGAACTTCTTTTTTCCTTGAGTGCAGTCTGCGTGTCTTAACAGCCTTTGCTCGCATGACAGAAAGTACCAGGGTTATGCATGGAAACCTTTTGTGGTGAGAATAAAGTAGAGTTCGCGATCAGATGATGCCATTAAAATCAAGGTAGAGGTGGTCAGTGGTGACGGATAGAGACAAATCATGAAAAACGGCTCAAAACCCGAGAAACCCTCCTTTGCCCGTTGATTTCCGCATTGATGCGACTCTCATCGGTGCTGCCCTCTTCAACGCTAACGCTCTCTCTGCTGAACGGCTAGAGACCTGCGGCGAGTGGTTGGCCAGTCGGTAGGCTTACCGCGTCGATAGCGCAGCGGGAGATCCATGCTGGAACCTTTCCTTACAGAGGACTGCGTACCGCTTCGCATCCATAAGGGTTTCACCTATCTTTCCACTGAGTAACTTTCCCTTTTTCAACCTTCGACCTCAGTGTGAAAAGCCTTTTTTAAAGAGTGTATGTATTGCATTATCTTACTTCGAGGGCGGCAAACTATGAACACCACAGAGCTCTAATGCACAATGTTGGAGCTGATTCAAGAAAAGCAATTTACCTCCTTTACAACACAGTTTCTCGACGGGTGGAACCTTTTCACATATAAAGGAGTCGATGAAATCAGTTGAACTGAAAAAAGGTGAATCGAAGCTCCCAAACAACTAACTGTGAGCAGAGTAGTTGTGTGAGCCACGAAATTCGTATGCGAATGGAAAAGAATTTGCATCCATCGAACAACGTGGTTATTATGAAATTTGAGTTTCACATAACCTTGACGGATCACAACTTTAATCACGACAGTGCTTTTTGAAACTCGTCTGCAGCGAGGGATATTCAGGGCGGCCACGGTTTTCGAAAGGCTTTCAATATGTTGTAAGGATACAAACACAAAACACAAAACCGAATCTCATTCTCGCTGAGCGGTGCTGTGAAAGAAAAAGGGGTGGAGAGACGGCCCACGGTTCGGCCCCCGTGATCATGAAAATTTTCATTTTGTAGTGGCACTACCACGTTGGCGCACAATGGTGCTGACGCCATAAATTGACGTTTATTATACATTATGATCAATGCGTGTAGTCTCCATGGGATTGTTCCATAGAAGTTCAGGACTCAAAAGTAGACTCGAATGGCGCCATACGCTAAAAATGAACGCTATTTTAGTGATCAGATGGTTGATTTTTGCAGCATACATTTAGAAAAACTCAGTGCTCCCATCGAGCCTGAAAAAATTGGACAGCCAGTGGTCTATTCCGTAGGTAGTCTCATCATGCACATCAGCACAGGCTTGAAGACGAGCTTGGCGCGGAAAACTGGCAAAAAGCCGGCTGACGTTGAACGCTGCTAAGCGGCAATGAAATTATTTCTCTGAAGCACATTGAATATCAGACATAGTACTTAGCGAAGTATACACTGGTGCGCAAAACTCAGGGACGGGAGCAACATGATTACTCACTGCTAGATAATCTAGGTCCTTGAATAGGACACACATAGAAGGAAATGTTACAGCATACCGCAGAAGGTCACTGATAGAAATGCGCAGAGGAACGGTTGAAAAGCACTTTTGTTCAAAAACAGTGACTGAAGCGGTTGATAGGTGAAACTTCTCCAACTCATGGTAGACCTTCAAAAGAGAGGAGCTGGTTCTTGATGGGGTGTATGAACACTACGGACTGCAAACATGCTACGTGCTCCCATAACGGCCGCAATGTTAGTCAAGAGTTCTTGTGTAGAACCGTTGTATCCCTGATAACCCGACTGTCGATTGCTGGGTCTCGTTGGCCCGTGGAAATGCGCTACGATAGCTCTCCTAGATGCATGTCACTCGTGCTCAATAGGAATTGAGTGGGGAATGTCGGTACGCCCCCGCCAGTTTATGCCTCCGACACCTTATCTAAT